GCCGGGCCCCGGCCCCCAGGCCCGGGCCCGGCAGCACTCACCTGTTGGTAGAGGGGCGGCTGCTGCCCGGGCAAGTAGGACTGCTGGGCTGGCAAGCTGCTCAGCGCGGCTTCCTGGCCCGGCAGGGCGGAGAGGAGGCCCTGCGGGAGCGAGAGGGTGGCCGTCACGGGGGCTGGGGGACACGCGGGGCCAAGGGTAAAGCCCACAGTCCCTGCCGGCTCTGTGGGCTGGGGACCGCCTGCCCCTCGTCCCCCGGAAAGGGGCCGGCGTGGCTGGGAGCGCTGACCTGCATGCCGTAGGGCTGGTAGCCCATGGAGACCGACTGGCTGCCCATGTAGCCCATGGCGCCCGACTGGGGGGCCTGCGAGATGGCCGGGATGCTCTGGGACTGCGAGGCTGCGCTCTGGGGAAGAGAGAGGCCGGTGAGAGGCTCAGCCCAAGCCAGCACCCCGGGACCAGCACCCCAGGACCAGGGTCACTCCCTCCCCGTGTCCCGGGGAGCCCAGAACCAGCTCAGGGCCTGGCCCCCTCCCACTGCGAACGCGGCAGCAGATCCGGGGGTCCGGGGCCAACCCGCCCTTTGTCCCTCCCGGTCACAGATGCCGTGTGGCGGAGAGGGGGCCAGCTGCCCCAGCCCCGCCAGCCACGAGCGGCTCTGCCCCCCACTTGCCTGGTAGCCCTGTGTGGGAGTCGGCTGGTAGGACGAGTACGCCGGGGTGGTGGTGGGCACCGCCTGGCCCTGCTGAGCCGCCTGCCCGCCGCCGGCCCCAGGCGGGTACATGTAGGCGTTCACCATGGCAGGATCTGGGGGCAGAGGGCAGGTTGGAGCGGCCGCCCCACGCTCGGCCCCCGCGCTCGGCCCCGCCGCCCCCGTACCTGTCCCCGAGACGGGCATGGCGCTGTACGGCCCCGTGCCCCCCTGTGCCGCCTGGTTCATGTACACGCCGTGCATGGGCGAGCCCTCCACGGAGCCGGCCGGGCTGAAGGTGCCAGGGAAGCTGGTGGGCCCAGAGGGCTGGTAGATCACCCCGCCGGCCGCGGGCATAGCCTGGAGCTGGGAGGGGAGAAGAGCAAGCTTTGGGCCATGCCACCCCGGGCTGGGCAGGAGGGGCTGTGGGCCAGCAGCCGTACTTGGGCGTAAGGCAGCGAGAAGGCCGGCATCTGGGCTCGCATCTGGATGGTCTGCTTCTGCTGCTCCAGGCGCAGCTGCCGCTCCTTCTCCTGCTCCTGCAGGCGCTGGATGGCCACCTGACGCTGCATCTCCAGGTACTCCTGCGGGAGCGGGCTCTGAGGGCTGGAAGCTGGGGCACCGCGGCATCGCCCCGTGCCAGGGCGGCCGGCCCCAGGCGGGCGCTGGGGACCCCTCCCCGCCTCACCTGCTTCTTCTGCCTCATGATCTCCAGCTTCTGGGCCAGCTGGATCTGGCGCTGGCGCTCGGCCTCCTCGGCGGCGCGGCGCAGCTTCTCCCGATGCTCCTCCCTCAGCGCGTTCAGAGCCCCGCGCGCGTCCCGGATCTGCGCCAGTTTGTCCTGCAGGCCTTCGTAGTACACTGGGGAGGAAACAGCCAGCCTCAGGGACCCCCTCGGGGCTGTGTGAAGCCCCCGTAGCCGCCCGCCCCCCCCAGGCAGCTCCCACGTACGCCTGCGCTCGTCCAGCTGGTTGAGCAGCTCCAGCAGCTGCGGGTGCATGTTGTTGATGGACTGGAAGAGGGACAGGACGGCAGAGTCGTTGGTGATGCTGCGGCCCCGCATGTGGTTGCTCTTCATGCGGTTGACAAAGGTGGTGACGGCGTTCTGCAGCGCCTTCAGGAACTGCTCGTGGTTCTCCTCGGACTCGCCGTTCTGGTACTGCTGCTGGAAGGACAGGGCAGCCCCTCAGCCTCGACTTTGCTGTGCCGAGAACCGGAGAGCCGCGGGGTCGGGCTGGGAGGAGGAGTCGGGCACTTCTCACCCCTCAGAAGCTGCCGGACGCGGGTCCAGGTCCCCTCTTACCTCAACGACACCCAGCGTGGTGGGGTGGGTGTCCCCAGGCTGCACAGCAGGCTCCGAGAGGGACAGAGGCGCCGACGGCGTGGGGCTCTTGCGAACTTCCTCTTGTTTCTTCTCCCAGTAGTTGCGGTTCAGGTACCGAGCCAGCTGCCAGAGACAGAAGGGAGATGAACACGCAGCCCTGCTGGGACTGAGCCCTTGCCGTGGAGTACTTGGGTCCTCACCTCTGGGTCAATGTCCTCAGCCAGGGGAGCAGAGGAATTCTGCAGAGACAGACGGGAGAATCCGGTTCAGAGAAACCAGAGGCCCACAGCTCCCACCCCGACAAGCTGCTCCCACCCGGCCAGGCACAACCACCAGTGCTCTGCACCAGCACGAAGCTGAATGGGAAGCACCGTCTCCTCCAGCCAGAGGCAGCGGAGGCACCGAAACACGGGCTGAGCACAGACCTTGCTGAAAACACAGCAGTGCTCTTAAGGAGCAAGGGACTGAATGGGGCAGAGCTTTTCTCTCAGAACAGGGATTAAATCTGGCCCAAGCAGAGCAGACTCGGGCTAGCGGTGTGGCCCGTGTCCAGCCACTTCATGTTCAGGGGCCCCCACGAACGTACCACGGGTGGGGAATAGAGGGTGCTGACCGGGGGAGCGGAGGACGTGACGGGAGTGGGCTCAGCCTTCGGGTACATGGAGTAGGTCGTTTTCTGCCTCTGCAAAAGAGAAAAACCAGCCCACTCATGGACTGTCCAGACTCCTCCAAATCACCCAGTCAGGAACAGACTGGACGCACTGGGTGGGCAAGGCTCTTGGCGACGGCCGGGCACGGCGGCAGACCCAGCCTCACACCGTGAGCGGGGCCCACAGGCCAGCGTGCCCCAGGGCCTGCAGCCTGGGCACAGCCCGCGTCCAGGATCCGGGACTGCAGCGCCATGCGTGCCTGGCTCCGCTTTCAGCCTCTCATGCCACAGGCCCTGTAGCTCGCTCGCGTCAGGACGTGCCCAGAGATCTGCTACCGCGCATACGGCCACCACCACTCCCAGACACCAAACGGGGCACAAACCATTCTCTCCTTCTCCTCGGCCTCTGACTGAGACAAGGCAATAGCCAGCTGGAGCTCCTCCTCCTCCTGCAGAGCTGTCTCGTCACGCTTTGGAGGCAGCTGCAGGCAGAAGGATGAGGAGGGGGTCAGGAAAGGATCCGTGAGCCCAACAGGATCCCCGGGTCACCCACGGGGCAGCCGCTCACCTGGGACTGCTGAGAGAGGGGGCTGGTCAGGTACTCGGGGGGCAGCTCGGAGGTGGCAGCAGCTTTACCCTCGGCTTTCCTGCAGCCAGAAAGAGGCAGCAGCGCAGACTGAACGCTCCCTCCTCCACACGGGAGCCCCAGCTCTGCACACCAGCACAGCTGTAAACCCCCTTCCCAGGGAGGGAGGGACCCCAGCCCAGCCTGGGACACCCCCGCTCCGCTCTGCAGAACGGTGGCTCCAGGCCAAAGCTTCCCCCTCATGGTCCCAGGCAAGGAAACACACCACAAAGGCTACTGACTTGTTGAGATGCTCGTAACAGGGCTCACAGACTCTCACTTCCTTCTCAATCCCGAACTTGGGGATGGTGGAATACTTGGAGGAGCATTTGCCACAGAAGATCTGCCCGCAGGCCCTGCAGTGGTGCTGCAAGGGACAGGAGAGGTCAGCGCGGCACCAGGACACTCCGTCACCGTTAGAGACCACTCGGACGCTCCCGGCACTTCCCCGTCAGTGGCCAGGGCCCACAGGCCGGCCCCAACGCTTCCACGCAGGCTCAGGGGGTCCCGCACGTCCCGGGGGGGCTGCGCAGGACTGGGGAACCCAGAGGGCAGGAGCAGCACCCACCTTCCGCGTCATCACACCAAACTGCACTCGGCATCGGTGACACTCCTCAGCATCGACCCAGTCCGGAGCCTGCGGGGGTCAAGAAATGTGTGAGGCAGGAGAAGGGCCTCAAGGAGTGTCCCCACCGAGCCCCTCCGGGGCTGCCACGGCTCCCCAAGGTGCCTCATGAACAGGGGAGACAGGAACATTTGCAGCTCAACAGGGAACGTTAATCCCCCCCAAGTTATCTCCTCTCATGTTCCTAGAGACTGCGACACTCTCCCACTCTGCCAGAGATTTTCCACAAACCAACGCCCTGCTGCCGTGCTCAGCGTGCCGCGGCTGCCAGAGGCCTCCGAGTAGGGCCCGGTGAGACCAACGCCTGTCCGGGTCGGTGCTCCCCCCGGTTGGCAGTTTTAGGCTGGATCGCCGTAGTGCACCCCAGAGCTGCCGGGAGCAGAAGGTACCCGCGAGGTATCTAACCCACACGAAACGGAGGAACACAAGGACCGGAGGTTTAGGAGGAGAGGGACAGGGGAGCAAGGTGTGTCCTGCAGTGCCGGCTCCCTCCCGCCCCGCAGAGCTCACCCGTTCTGCAGCGAACATGGCATCGCTCTCTTTGAACTCCGGGAACACGTGGCCTGCGCGAGAAACGACAGCGCCGCGCTGCGAAAGGGCTCCCACGGCGCAGCGATGCAGATCCACCTCAGATCCAGCCCAGCCCGCCCTGACCCCACCACCGTCCTGCGAAGTGCCGGGCTCTCGGCCCCGCAGGACAATCCCCGGTTGGTTTCCCTCTAAGGGACTTCTAAGGGACACTGGGGCCCTCTGGACAAGGCTTATTTCTCAAGGCCTGGAAGTCAGCTTGGGAGGGAAAAAGCCCACGGCGTGGGCAGGCAGGGCTTTGAGTCTCACCCCCTGAATGGCAAGAGCGTGGCTGCACCGGCTCGGCACCTCCCGCCCGTGGAGGTTCTGGTGCTCGGGAGGAGGCACAGGCAGCAGCACATCCCTTCCCTCGCAGGGACGAGACAACGTCCCACACTGTCAGTGAGAGCGTGGACCCACCCTGGAAGTACTAAGGGAAGCCGGGGAGGAAGGAACCGCCCCCACTGTAAAT